GTGAAAACAGGTAGGAATCATTACGAAAGTTATCTTACCACAAGTCAGAGTTAGCAGAGTCACGTCGCTCGACATGATAGAATGATTGCGGCGCTCAGGCGATAGCGATGGCGCGCTATCGAACCTCGGAAGTGGACCAGGCGCAGCAACCGTTGGGGGCGTAATTGGCAGCTGTAAGGGGTCTTATGAAGCTGTGAGTGATGGTTTTCACCGTTTCACACGCGCTACACACCTCGCGTAACAAAACTACTATTTCTTATGGCCAATCAGGCTTACCCTCCTTCCCCGCCTGGAGGGAAAACGACGAAAATTACTGGAAAATTGGTGGCAAAATAGTATGAGAAAGGGGGTCGTTCTAGAGGAGGAACTGGGGGGAGGGAGATGTAATATAATAGGAACAACTTCCACACTGAACTTTGACTCCAAAATTCGTTTCCACCACTGATCACTGATGGCTTTTGGTCAATCAGTGATGTCACTCTTATCACTGCGAGCAAGCTATAAGCAGCGCTGAAGTGATAACAGTATTCTACTCGTTTGGAGGAGGCAATTTGTGGTCGGTAAGGGTGACGATATCCTTCCGAAGCAATGGAACATTTCTTAAAAAGAGTGGGGATCCTCCATCGAAAGCAGAGCTAAACGATGGGACAACAAAGGAGGGATAGCCATATTCAGAAAATTCAGAGGGGAAAAGTGCAGGAAAAAGTGCAGGGGGTGGTGTGGTTCTATACGGAAGAGATACCACCTGGTATAGGATCTTACCGATCTGTCCCGCCTGAAGAATATACCAGCGGAAAGAAATTATTCCCATCGTCCTGAGACATCCACCTGGGGTTGATCACAGAAGAAATAAGTACGGTTTTCAGTTTAACAGGGTTTACATGACCTCAAAATTGCCTGGTATGTTGACAGATGTTTGCACATCGCCCCTACCCACAGCGGGCTTGCCCCCCCCCCTCCTTTCAAAACGATCGAAAACAAGCATAACTGATAGTTAGCTAACAGTACTAGTGAGTCAGTGATCCATGACCTCTTTAGCCTGTTCTCCCTGATTGAAACTCAGTTCGGTTGTGGAAGTTATTCGGATGATGCTGATCGTGCTATGGTTCCCAACGTTGTCCTCATCGTCTCGGATAATCTCGCGTAAGCTTCACCCCTAACGAAGAAATTTTCCCGGATGACCCGATGGATTTCAGGTCGTACAAGAACGTCTGGAATAAGTTCCAAACGGACGGCAAGCTCGGCTGGGATTGCAGTGACTGTCCTGCCAATCCGTCTTACGTGTTTCTTAGCGCTACAGCTGATATCGCACCAACAGACCTTGGGGTTCGTCTCTAATCGATTTTTGTGAATTACTTTCCTAATCAACCTTTACTTTAGGTTACCTTACACCCTGACCGACTCGGACTACGGTCTTGACTCGTCGATGAAAGCCATGAATCTCTTTAACTCGATCGTCAACGGATTGTGTAACACGCCACTCAGAGGTAGCCATCCATCCCTATTCCAAAGACGATTTTCAAAAAGATTTGGATCAACAGCCCCATCTTGTGGCGTTGTGGTGTGAGCGGTGTCACAAGCGCGGCAATCGCACCAGGACCTAATCGATTCAGCGCACAAGTGCCATAGTGAATGCAGGCGCCAATTCTCGGGATTTGAGCTAGATGGGGGGGGCGGCAGTAGGTGTTTAGCGAGGCTTACACAGGGCTCCTTGCAAGAACTTGTGAGAATCTGTCATTAAAGTGGTCCACCTGCATCATTTCGCGGCTTCACAAGAGCTTGCAGGTCCTACCAAAGTGAGTACCGTTAGTTAAAAGGTCGTAAGTAGAGAAATCTAGCAAGAGGGCAGTTCACGTCCCCTCTAAGCCGAATAGCATCCTCTGTAGAGGCCACATATGGTTAGCTATAGATACTACCTATTTTGGAAGCATCGTTTCACAGTGGATCTACCAACTTGCGCTCCCAGGGCGAGTTCCTATGCTATATTTAGAACACCAATCGATTATCGACCAGCTTTCCAAGCCCATGGACTAATTATCGATTATTACCTTTATATACTTACACTAGCCAAGATTATTGACTAGCGAAATCCGAGGATTCCCTACGTATTTCAGCCTGCTGCACCTATGCGGTTCCTGCCACTTGTCAACGCAAGTCCGAGTTCTGGAAATTATATTAATAATAATAATAATAGATAATGTTCTATTTATGATTACTCAGAAGTATTCGTGTACAGGTTGATGTTGTTGTGATTTCTTATGTTTAATAAAATGCGCGTTCATGTTCTTTTTCAATCAGGTATTAGTCTAAAGAAAACGAAAAACGTATTAGGTCGTTGCCAAAAGAATGCAGGATTCGTTTTTGTAATCAATACTTATTTTATTCCAATAAAATGTAAGTGTTATATATCATTCGAAAGCTTATTAATGCTCTTTCTAAATGATACTTCAAGATTGGTTGTAATTCTTTTTAGAGGCCACAAAATCGTTGAAGGCGTTTTTGTAACATTCGCCTTGGTTTTGAAGCCTTTCTCTACCCCCCAGATAGTGGTCAGATTGCCTTGAAAAAGTGTGTGATCGTGGGCAAGACAGGTCTGGGAGTATCGGCTGATGAGGGCAGAGTTGTCATAGCCCAATCCTTTAGTTTTCTGGAGTGTAATTGTGCAAAGTTGTGGGTCGGGTTTTATTCTTCGTGGAGAAGCAGTCCGGAATCGTGTGAGTCCTCATACTTGGACCAACCTTGGCACATGCGTTAAGGCTTCTGATGCATTTCGTCGATTTGTTGACAGTACTTCTCTGCCGTAATTGTTTCACCAGGATTCAGGAAGCTGTGATGGATGAGACCGGCGGCAGACCACCAAACATGAGGTTCATCTTCAAGGCTGGTGTTGCCACAGCGAAACTTCTGGAACCAACGTTGGACCGTAGATTCGTTGATACTTCCTTGACCCCAAACTTCGTTGATGTTCCGAGCTGTATCGGCAGCGTTTCGTCCTAGCTTGAACTCATAGAAGAAAATAGTGCGAAATTCACGTTTCGACATCTGCAATAAAATGTCAATAAAAATTATAATAAAATGAATTACAACCAATCTTGGAGTATCATTTAGAAAGAGCATGAGATGAGCTTCCGAATAGTATATAACACTTCATATTAAAGTAACATATTATTGGAATAAAATAAGTATGAAATACAAGCAAGCAAAATCCTGCATTTCTTTTGCAACGACCTAATACAGTTCAGTTCCTGTTCGTTTTATGGCGGTTAGGTTGGCGACTCAGAGAACTGCCAGAGACCGTAGCAAAGTTGTTGTAGCCGCTCGCTGTTGGAGGTCTTCCAGATAAAGAGCGCTGCCCCCAGGTAGCTAGTTGCCCGTGGGTGACTCGATACAAAAAGTTTCGCAACTGTTTGGAGGGGACGTGAATTCCACAGGATTTCCCAAGTTCGGTTGCGATCGCAGATGGCTTCATATTTTGGTGTACAAGAGGGTGATGGACGAGGGCTGCTTCTGCTTATCGAGAACGTCTTGGGTATCCTTCGCCCAAGTACTCGTATCCACGCCTTTCTCTATCAGCTATATTGCTTTACTGATGTGTGCGCCTGACACGACGGGGGGAAAATATAAGGAGGGGGACATTGTAAGGGGGGAACAGGGGAAATACAAATATCCATCAATAATGAAGAGCTGAAAATGGTCTGGGCGGAGCCCAATAGGGGACCGAGTTTTGATTACTATGAAATTTCTCGTGACCTCGATGAGCATACTCACCCTATCGATATAGGAAAATTTCATTGCCGACAACTCACGTAAACTGAAATTATGTCTGAACTTCTTCTGATCTTACCACCAATTGAGAAGAATAAGTTACATATTGAGCTTTCGACGCAGTCACAATGTGAACTTTGTTGTCTTATAACAGTAATCAACCTGTCTCTCGGTTACCGAGCAATGTCGAAAGATTGATGGGTTTGTCCTTCGCACCTCTGACCACCTACTTGTACTTGCAATGAATACTCGACCGTCGATGAACGGTTGACGTCGCAGTTCATCCATTTGTTCCTCTCTTAGTCAAAATACGTTCCTATAACCCTTTTTTCATGAATTCCCGAATTCCGATCCATTTTGGTAATGTACGCAATCATTCGTATGTCTTATCTTTAACTCTCCTCTTTAGCCCTTATCCATGAGAAGATCTTCGCCAAAAATTTTTAGTACAGTCCTCCTCACCCCCCCCCCTACGGTACAATCCTCCTCCCCACTCTGTCACCTTGACAAATTCTCACAAACTTCTTACCGTTGCGCCGTCCAGCGGTATTGAGGAGTGGCGGGTGGATGCGGGAGGTTAGAACGCGATTCAAGCTTCGAGGAAATAACTGATTTGGGCCATACGCCGGTGGACGGAGGTACTGCCATTTTTGCTCATGAAACGAAAAAATTTTTTAATTTTGTTTTTTCTTCTATTTTTCTTTGACTTCAGAAAAAAATGCGACTTGTTCCCTCCAGCGCCCACACATCAAATGATGAGCCCTGTGCTACTATGAAAGGTTTTTCGTCACGCATTCGTTTTTCCATACCTACTGCGCATTCGTCAGCAGAAAAGATAATTCTTCACAACTGCAACTTTATTCACCTTGTATTGGCATGTCTTCGCTCTGGAGCAGATTCGGCTGAAATCCTTTTCTTTTCTGTCCCCCTCCCCTCCTCCGCTCACTCCAGAAAAGTGACAGCAGCTTGAAAAAAAAACAGGCCAATAATCGATTGGAGCAGTGAACTGCGGCTTTAAGCGCTTGCTTCACGTTCACTCGACGTTCCAACGCATTCTTTTGATAAGGTAGTCCTGACTGCAATCACAGGGGATGCACTACTTTTGCAGCTCAGAAATATAATAGAACGTGCCTCCTGCTCACGACAAGGGCAAGGCTCCGCCCACTGGCCACTGCATGCCTAACTTTCATTTCCAAAGGTACCGCGACGGTGCGGTTGTTTTGCTCCGAGCCCTCCTTTCGAATGGTGAGAGTGAGGCGCAAGAATAAAGAATTGGCCCATTGAGTGATAACTTGTCCAACTACGCGTCAGCATAGGGTTCCATATGAGGCATTTCGGGAGGCACCGGGCGTTTTTTCCTTGCTTTTGTGTCATTTACTACGTAGCCATTAGTATCTCCTAAAGCTGACCCTTTCGAATGCGGGAGTACCTCCAAATAACACTTATCTTAGTGAGACAACCTTGCAGAAACATATAAGTCTAAGGTAAGCTTGGCACGATAAATCTCCCAAGACAATTAGGGGATCAATACTCCTGGGCTGATATAGAATTCCGCAACCCTGAGCAGGCGTCTGCATAGCGGTTTCCCCGAGGAAGGTGCCCTTATAAGGGCCCTATCAAGCCACAACTTTACGTCCCAAACGCCCGCCCGCCCACAAATGGACGACCGTTCCTGACGCTCGTATTCATTCATTTGCTAAGCAAATTATGAAGCGAAGGGATTGGTATGAAGCGGGCGCATGCATACATGGGTACACATATGCAGCCGTATCTTCGGTAGCGGTGATTGGTAAGATGCCTACGGGAAACTCGTCCGAAATCGATTTTCAAATCACTGAGAACGGAGGCTTTTTCTTCGCAGGATTTTGACCGTTTCACTCCGTTCTTTCGCCATTTCCCCACTATACAGCGCCCTACTAGCATTTTAGGCTAAGTAGGAAACCATCGTGCCAACTGCCTTTAAAGGTGCGAGTGCTGTGGCACAGCAACCATAGGGCTGAAAAGGTGCGAGGTTCGGACTTATGACTTGTTTCAGAACAAATATGCCTAGCTGTTATTTTTTTATTAGTCTGCCTATCACTAAAAGTCCTTTTTGCCCGTTTCAGTTACTTGTATAGTATTGTAGGTCAGCCCTATGAGAGGCTCAATGCTACTGAACCTAGTCCTCTATGCACACCATAATCAATACATTGACTTATAGTAGCTTGCAGCCAGTTGCATAATGTGAAACGGATTGAGAACTGAAAGAACCGGCCGTTGCTCTCGCCCTGAATGCAACATTACTTTACGTCTTTTGAATATACCATAGCTAGATTGCAGCTTTGACCCAGCAACTTCGGCACCGAGCTCATTTTTAAATTACCTAAGTCGCCAAACCCGCTGAAAATATGTACACAAGGGTTATTTACCATCCTGATTACAATTATGACACTCATTCTTGGCGCTGGCGCCAAGGGATGACACTACGATTACCTCTTGGGCTCAGCCTTAGCGGAGCGCAGGTAATCGTAGTGTCATCCATTAGCGCCAGCGGCAAGAGTGAATGTCATATTCGTAATCAGGATGTTAAACTACCCCTACATACAAGTTTTTAGCGGATTTGGTAACTTAGGCAATTTAAAAATGAGCTCGGTGCCGAAGTTGCTGGAGTCCAAACGGCATTAGCCCTTGG